CAGCCACGTCTCCCATGTGGGTGGCAAGGGCCCAGCGCTTGGGCTGTCCTTTGTGCTTCTCCAGGCACATGAGCAGGCAGCTGGTGGGGAGAGGAGCACTGGGACTCCCAGGAGATGCTGGCGTCTCAGCTGACGGTCCCACAGCTTCCCCTGGGCTGTGACACTTTCAACATGTCTTCATACACGGGTGGGTTCTGTTCCCCCGCTTGTTGTAGTTTCCTGTATGCCTGACGGCGTTGTTGCCCAGTGCTGCAGCTTGGTCTGTCCTTCCATGGCTTAAGATGTGGCCTCTCATTGTGTCACTACGCTTGTGCTTTGGGGACACGGCTAAGTAAAACTAGAGTTAACTGAGCTCCAACACTGTATGATACGACAGATTCAGGGACAGTTTGGTGGGTAGTGTACACAGCGTGGGTGTGAGGCTGCTGTGTCACTGACAGGTGGGCCGTGTACACACGTGGTTGTGAGGCTGCTGTGTCACTGACGGGTGGGTCGTGTACACAGCGTGGGTGTGAGGCCTCTGGGTCAAAGGCGTCGGGGAAACCCACCTTCTTAGCTTGTGCCTGTAGTCATGCTCACACATGGCACCGCTGTCCTGGGCTAAGATTCTCTTCCCAGGATTGGCACTTGGCAATCAGGACACTTGTTGGGATGCCCAGATCCTGCATTGGAGTGCCTGGGTCTGAGTTTCAGCTCCAGGTACACCCTGGCAGGCAACAGGGTGTAGTCCCGGTTCCTGTGACACTGACATACTGCCACCCCCACTGTTGCAGGTGTTGGAGGCTCAACCACTGGATGGAAGATCTCTTCTTTGTCTTTCAAATAATATATATATATTTTATTTTAAGGAGTTCCCATCTTCCCTAGGCTCCTCTAGGACATATAAAAGTCCCCGTGGTAGTAAAGAAAAGGAAATTGTGAAAACTCCAAAGAAAGTAGGCGCTGGAATGAGTGGAGCTGGGCTTCATTTTTACTAAAGAAGCTGAGCGCCACCTCGTGCTGGATGAAGCTTGTGCAGCGGCTGGTACATATAGAATCTCTCAGTCCATGAGATGGCTTTGGGCCGTCCTCCACCGCTTTCCCAGGCCACGAACTGGCTGCCACATGGGATTCCAGTGCATTCAAGGCAAGGATCTAGCCACTGAGGTATCACATTGGGCCCTCTCCATGAAATTCTACAGAAATTCATTTATGGTTTGGGACAGAGGGAGAGAGATCTTTTCTTGTTCACTTCCCAGATAATTAGAATGTCTGCGGCTGGGCTGAGGCCCAAGCTGAGTGAAGACCCCAACTCAGGTGTTCCACATGGAGGGCAGGGATGTAGTCTCACGGACCTTCAGCACTGCCTCTGTAGGTGTGCACTGGCAAGAAGCCAGGATCCGGAGCTGGAAGCAGGAATTGAAGCCAGGTACTTAGATGTGGGATCCAGGTGTCTCGGTGACTAGGCTACCCTGCCAGCCTCTTGAATGAACGTCCCGAAGATGCCGCTTACGCATCCGCTTCCTTGGGGTGGATGGAGCTGCTGGGTCTTACAGCAAGGTTCTGATTACACTCCTAAGAAACTGCTAAGTCATTTCCCAAAGTCTGCAACATTTTATATTCCTCCTAGCAGTATATGAAGGATCTTCAACAAGTTCATGGAAATACATGTTATTGAAATGTATATATGGATTTCAACATATTGTAGGCAATTTAAAAATACATTCAGCTTTTTAAAAAGATGGTTTTTGAAAGGCAGAGTTACAGAAAAAAAAAGAGAGGGAGAGAAAGCAAGAGAGAAAGAGACAGAGAATCCATCTACCAGTTCATTCCCAAATGGCCAGGACCAGGAGGCAAGAGCTCTCCCCAGGCACCCCATGTGGAGAAGAGGGGCCCAGGCACTGGGGTCCATCTTCTGCTGCCTTCGAGGTCATTAGCAGGGAGCTGGATCAGAAGCAGAGAAGCTGGGGCTCTTAACCAGTAGGCCATGTGCCTGCTCTGCCCATTGGCAGTGATGTGCCATCAGCCTCGTGCAACCTGGTAGTGGAAATGCTCCAGAAGAAGCTGGGTGCATGAGCCCAAGGCCCAGGCTATACCTGCACCACCCTAACAGCTCTCTCCAGCCAGCCAGTCTAGAACTGGGGCTTGGGGCTGGCACAGTGGCATGCCAGGCAGAGTCTGTGCCTGCAGCACCAACAACCCCTATGAGCACCTGTTCGAACCCTGACTGCTCTACTTCCCATCAAGCTGCCTACTAATGTGCCTGGGAAAGCAGTGGAAGATGGCCCTGGTTCTTAGGGCCCTGAATTCACATGGGAGACCCAGAAGCCCCTGACTCCCAGCTTCAGACCAGCCCAGTTCTGGCTTATTGTGGCCATTTGGAGAGTGAATCAGAGGGTAGAAGTTGTCCTCTCTCTCTCTTTCTCTGTAACTTTTCCTTTTAAGTTAAAAAAAAAATCTTAAGAGAGGCTATTTCTTGGACAGCTACTATGTGTCCAGCCCTGACCTGGGTCCTTGAAAGACAGAGTCACATAGGGCTGGGCCACCCTGAAGTCAGGAACCTGGAACTCCATCCAAGTGTCCCACACAGGTGGCGGGTCCTAAGGCCTTGACTGTCATCTGATGCTCTCCTGGGAGGTGCCCAGCATGATGGCCTAGTGGCTAAAGTCCTCACCTTGAACGCCCCGGGATCCCATATGGGCGCTGGTTCTAATCCCAGCAGCTCCACTTCCCATCCAGCTCCCTGCCTGTGGCCTGGGAAAGCAGTGGAGGACGGCCCACAGCCTCGGGACCCTGCACCCGTGTGGGAGACCTGGAGGAGGCTCCTGGCTTCGCATTGGCTCAGCTCTGGCTGTTGTGGCCACTTGGGGAGTGAATCATCGGATGGAAGATCTTCCTCTCTCTCTCTCCTCCCCTCAATGTATATCTGACTTTGCAATAAAAATAAATAAATATTAAAAAAAAAAACCAAAAACAGAAACAACCAGGGAGCTGGAGTCAGGGATTGGAGCTGGAATCAAGCCCCAGACACTGAAGTACCAAGCTGAACAACCACTCCTCCAGCACTTCTGAAAAAGAAGCTCCTGACTTTGAATTAGCAAGCCAGGTCCCACCTCCAAGCACGGGATCATTTATCGACTGCAACTAGCAAGAACCAGCATGGCAGCTTCCTCCAGCAGGCCCCAGGCAGCCAGCTGCCATCTTCCTCAGGTTTGGGCCTCGGATATTTGTTAGATTTATTTTATTTTTATTGGAAAGGCGGATATACAGAGAGGAGAGACAGAGAGGAAGATCTTCCGTCCGATGAGGCTCCGGTCTCCTACACAGGTGCAGGTCCCAAGGCTGTGGGCCGTCCTCCACTGCTTTCCCGGGCCACAGTCAGGGAGCTGGAAGGGAAGCGGGGCTGCTGGGATTAGAACCGGTGCCTATATGGGATCCCGGGCGTGCAAGGCGAGGACCTTAACCACTGCGCCACCGCGCCAGGCCCTATTTGTTAGCTTTTGCAAGCAGGCATTTTAACCCGTCTAGAACTGAGCAGCTGCTTCCTCGAGTCGCTCAGTTCTTGGGGGACAAGAGCGTCCCACGGGGATGAAGGGAAACTGAGGCGGAAAGGAGACTTCCGGTTGGCTGGCAGTGAGAAGAGCTTTTCCTCAGGGAAAGCTGGAGAAGGAAAACTGCGAAGGTGGGTGGAGCGGTCCTGCCTGGCCACGCCCACAACAACACCACGCCCGTCTGGCCGCGCCCATTCCGCCTTGCCACGCCCCGTCCCGCCGGCCACGCCCCCTGTTCGGCCTCGCCCGGCGCGGTCCCGCCCCTGGCCCCCACCTCACCCTTCCTCGCCCCGCCCCCTTGCAGCCCGTCCGGCCCCGCCCTATCCTCCTCGCCATGCCCCCTTCCTCCTGGCCCCGCCCACCCTGCCTAGCTCCTCCCCTTCCGCCGGCCCCGCCCCGTCCGGTCTGGCTCCGCCCTTGCCCCGCCCCCTCCGGCGCGCCGGCGGGAAAGGCCTGAGTCATGGCCGCCTCCACACCACACGGCGGCGGCCGCGGGCCGAGGCGACGGCGACGAGAGGTGACGCGGGGACGCCGGGAGGGGGCGTGAGTGCGGCGGAGCAGAGGCTGTGGAGACGCGCCCGGCGAGCTGAGGGGTGCGGGGTGCGGCCCGGGGCCAGGCCGGAAGTGTGAGGCCCCGCGCCCTAAGTTCGAGTTGGCCCGGTGCGCTTCGCCCGGGACCCGCGGGCCAAGGGCGACCCTGCTTGAGCGCCTCTGGGGGGGCCGGGGGACCCCGCGCGCCCCCAGGGTCCCTCAGGACTGCGGGCCCCGACCTGACAGAGATGTCCCCAGCTTCTCCAGCGCTGCCCCCTCTCCCCGCAGTGGGCTTCTCGGCCCGGGGGACCCCTTCTCCGAGCAGAGGCTCCGGGGAGCGCCCAGGGTTCCCTGCGACCCCCGGCCCCCCGACCCCCCACGCAAGCCTGAGCTGGGGTGCCAGCGAGCCAAGTGGGGGCGTGTCCCAGGGGACGGGGCTGGGGATGGTGGCCGCGGTGGGTGGGGGTCCCCCAGGCTGCCGTGTCTGTGCAGGGGGGCACCCGGCATGCAAGGGGGTCCCTCAGGCTGCCATGTCTGCAGGGGGCTCCCCAGGCTGCCGCGTCTGTGCAGGGGGTGGCCGGCATGCAAGGGGGTCCCTCAGGCTGCCATGTCTGCAGGGGGGTCCCCAGGCTGCCGTGTCTGTGCAGGGGGTGGCCGGCATGCAAAGGGGTCCCCCAGGCTGCCATGTCTGCAGGGGGGTGTCCCCCAGGCTGCCATGTCTGTTCAGGGGTCACCTGGCATGCAAGGCCCGCTTGGGGGGCTCCCCACCCCCCGCCGGGCTCGGGGCCCGAGCCGTGACGTCACGGCGGCTGGAAGTGCCCGGCGCGGAGGCGCGGGAGGGGGTGTGGAGCGGGGTGGGGGCCCCCCAAGCCGGCGCCGTATAAAGCGGAGCCCGCCAGGCGCCGAGCCGCAGCCCGCGTCTCCCTCTGCCCCGGCGGGACCCAGGGACGGTGCCCCCAGCCCGCACCCAGGGACGGCGCCCCCGGCGGCCCCGGGGCATGAGGTGGGGGCGCGATGTCGGTGCCGCTGCTCAAGATCGGGGCGGTGCTCAGTACCATGGCCATGGTCACCAACTGGATGTCGCAGACGCTGCCTTCGCTCGTGGGGCTCAACGGCACCGTGTCCCGCGCGGGCACCTCCGAGAGAATCGTGAGTGGCCGCCGCGCGGGGGGCGCCAGGGGGCGTGGTGGCCGCAGCTCAGCCGCAGCCCCGGGGCGCTGGGGGGACGCTGGGGGGGCGCAGGGCGCAGCGCTCCCGGGGGACGTGGGGGCGCAGGGAGCAGCGCTCCCGGGGTGCTGGGGGCGGCGCAGGGCGCAGGGCGCAGCCCTCCCGGGGCGCTCGGGGGGGGGGCACAGGGCGCAGCCCTCCCGGGGGACGTGGGGTGCAGGGAGCCCCGGGACCTGCTCCCTTGTACTTGTTCCTAATGGTATCGTGATGATGACGATGGTGATTGATTGGTTACTATGACGGATGAGCCCTGGCCCGAACGCTGGGACCTGGCCACAAGGGCTGCAGAATGTGGCATGGTCCGGACTGAGTGAGGTGTGCGGTAGGGCCAGATGAGGGGGCTGGGTGGGACCCTGCGTCTGAACCCCGAGTCTCGAGCGGCAGGGTCCCAGCTCATCTGGGGCGCTCTGGTCCTCTCTCCGCTTCTCCCCTCGCGGTCTCTTCCCGCCCTTCTCCTGCACAATCCCTCCTCGCGAAGGGCTGAATACTTGTCTCCATACTTAACCCTCCCTGGAAGGCAGGCAGGACAGAGCTGACACCGCCTCCAGAAACTCCAGGATTGCCCCCTCTCTTGCCATCCCACGCCCACTCCATTGCCTGTGTGTCCCCTTACTTATTCCCCTGGGGAGGGGGGAAGGGGCCTTCCTCTGTAGATGTCCCCCACTCCCTCTTCTAGTGGCGCCCCTCTGGAAGCCCCTCCCAGCTTCAGTCCATTTCCAAGTTCCCTCCCCATGCATGTGGCTGGAATGCATGGTCCCTCTTCCTCGATGTTGCCCAACTGCCCATTCCCCTCTGACTCCCAGCCCCTCGTCGCTTGCTGCCAGGGAGGACTTGGGTTCCAAGTGGTGACCTGGGGATGGGGGCTTCATCCGCTGTAGCCAGGCTCTGTCTGGTCCCTGGGGCAGTTGGTACTGGGCTTGGCACAAGTGAAATCCAGCTGATGTGTGCAGCTGTGTGTCTGCCACGTCAGGTGGCATTGTTTGGGGGTACATTGTGGTGTGTGTGGCTGTGTGAGTGTGTGGTGGTGTGTGTATCGGGGAGGACAGGCAGTGTCAGCCTGTGGGTGCCAGTGCCTCTCGGAGTGAGTGTGGGTGTGTCCCTGAGCGAGCCTGTCTGCTGGGATGCCATCGCATGCCGCTGCCTGCGGGCGTGTGTGTGTGAGGTGGTTGCAGCTGTGGCTGTGAGCGTGTGTATGACACAGCCTTCTGCTTGTTGACATCCGAGTGGGGAGGGAGCCCAAGCCTCCCTCCCCGCCCTTCGAGAGTGTGAGTCTGTATAAGTGCATGTGTGTGCTATATGCGTGTGTCTTTGATTGTCTGGGGAGTAATGCACAAGAGCACGTCGTGTTTGTGTGTGAAGGTGTCATGTGTGCCTATCTGGGCAAGCATGTACCTGTGTGTGTGCTTGTGTCATATGGATATAGGGGTGTGTTTGTCATGCATGTTTTCTGTAAGGCTGCGTGTGCATGTGTGCCGGTATGGACAAGTGTGTATCTCTCTGTGTGTGCACCCTTGTGTTGTATGGCTGGGGGGTGTGTTTGTCATGTGTTTTCTGTAAGGCTGTGTGTGTGTGTGCCTACACAGCCCTTCTCCACTCCAGCCCTGTCCTGGCTCATAGCACTTGGTCCTATGGCATCCCTAGCTGAAAGGAAGCATCTCTCACAACACTGTGCCTGCTCACCAGGGGCTTTCTGTACAGTGATGCCCAGCTGTGCTGGAGGGGATGCTTGGGACGGGGGTCTTGGGAGTCTGAGAGACCTGCGCCAGTATCTAGATTCTGTTCCGCCTTGCTCTGGGGCCCTGCGCCAGTGACTTCACTGCTCCAAGCCACACTTTTCTTGTGTGTAAAACGGAAGGGATCGTTTCCATCGCAGCTGGTGTGGGTGACAGAGATCCGCTCTTCCGGATCCTTGCCCATCTCTCCTCCCACCTGCTCTCCGCCATCCTCCATCCACCCGCTCACCTGCCCATCTCTACAGCCCTCCTTCCGATTGGTCATTGTTTGTATGTCCATCTTCTCCTTCTCCCGCGTAGTTGTCTACCACTTTCCCATCATCCCTCTCTCTTCCCATCCTTTCATCCATCCATCTCTAGACTTGGGTGTCCATGCATCTGTTTTGACTCTGTGGTTCTTCCGTCTCTCTGTCTAGCTCTCCGCCCATCAATCTTCCCTTCCTTTGGTCCATCCTTCCTTCCCTCTTTGCTTAGATTAATCCTCCACACAATCATTATCCACCATCTACCCATTTCTTTACCCATTCTTCAGCGCATCTGTGTTACCCATCCATCAATTCATCTTCCCTTTTATTTCCTCAGCGGTACTACTGTCTCTCTCCCCAGTGTGTGCGTTTGAAAGCCTCCAAGTCGTGCCTTTCATAACAGGTACTGAGATGGTGAGAGGCCTTTGAATTGAACACATTTGGGTTTGAATTCTGGCCCTCCAATTACCTAACTGTGTGGCCTCGGGGAAATGATTTAGTCTTTCTACGCTCCAACTTCCTTGTTAATCAGGAATTCTGAGTCTCTGTCAGACCATAAGGTTCAGGGGAGTTTGTGTTTTTCTCACAACTGCACCCCAAGGCCTGATGCATAGTAAAAATAAATATTTGTCAACTGGCTCAATCGACAGTTGCAACTTGGTGCAGAATCTCACATTCCATCTTCAAATGGAAACAAATGGGCGTGAAGTAGGTGTTTGTTTTGTAAGGAGGGTTTGTTTTGTTTATCCCTGTAATTAAGCACATAGTAAGCCTGAGATAAATAGTTGTCCAATGCCCAAGTCCGTTTCCCCTTGCCTGGGATGGGGGCGGACAGAGGAAAGAGACCAGGCACACGGTAGGAGTTAGTGAGCACTGGTCTGGGAGACAGCAATTCAGGACTCTAAACAGTGGCAATCCACAGTTCTGAGTGGAAGGTTGGCTGCTGGTGTTTGCCTGGATCAGTGGGTCCAGACCTTTGGTTCATGCTCTTCCTTGCTTAGCACTCTTGTGGGATGAGGGAAGAGGAAGCTGCCGCCTCCACTGCCTTTGGCCAACTGCCAGCCGTAAAGCACCCCGTGGGACAGGAGCCTTCCCCGCAGCGGCTTTCCACCTGGGGATCATAAATCCAGCACCAGATGAAAAGCTGTCGGTGCCATGGCCTGTATCAGCGCAGGGCCTGAAGTGAGCTCTCTGCACCTTCACACCTTTGCCCTTCCACCCCTTGCTCACTGAAGAGGTGCTGGGGAAGTGGGTTCTATTTTGGACCATTTCCCCATGTAAGAAATAGGGGGAGTGGGAGCAGCCCACAGAAAGGCACTCTTGGAGGACAGCTCCATGGCAAACCAAAGCTTGGCCTCAGCATCCGTGTCTCCTCTTGACAGTGTTCTGGAAAGTGCTGGGTGTTCTGGAACACTGCGCTGACAACCTCAGATGGCGACCCTGGGGGTGGAGAGCTCTGTCCATGGTACTTCTTGCTAGTTGAGGAACCTGGGATGACCAACTGTACTGGGATCTGAACCCTGGAGTGAGAAACAAGAGGGTGCAGCAGATGACCTCGCAGCTCCTAAAGCTGCACCATGGCTGGTCAGAGCAGGTCATGTGGCCGGGTCTAATTTCCCACAGGGTGACAGGTGTGACTACGGTAGCCTGCCCAAACAGGAGGAGTGGCCAGGGTTTGTAAACACCTCTCTCTCTCTTTAAAGATTTGTTTATCTGAAGATCACAACTGGAGAGAGAAAGAGAGATCTTCCATCCACTGGTACACTCTCCAAATGGCTGCACTAGCCAGTCCAAAGGCAGGACGCAAGAGCTTCATCCGGGTCTCCCATGTGGGTGGACCATCCTTCACTGGTTTTCCTCAGGCTGTTAACAGGGAGCTGGATCAGAGTGGAGCAATGGAGGCTGGGACCCAGATGAGATATCTGCATTGCGGATGGCAGCTTAATGCACTGCACCTCAACGCCAGCCCCCTGTTCCTCGTGTCTAAACAAGAATTCTCGTAGAGTGTGACTGCATTCACTCACTAATTTATTGGCAACATGGAGCACCTACTGTATGCCAGGCCTACCCTGGTGAGTAGAGGAGACAGAAACCTTTGCTTGGGACAGGAGTGAAGAACGGCCAGTCAGCACATGGAGGAGTCTTGTCTTAGATCACCTGCTACCTGGACTGTCAAGGTGTGCAGGTCAGAGTAGGTGGGGTAGGTGGAGAGTGATGGGGGACTATTTTAAAGATTTGTTTGTTTTTTATTGTAAAGTCAGATTTACAGAGAAAGAGACAGAGAGAAAGATCTGTCTGTTAGTTCACTCTCCCAAGCAGCCACAATGGCCAGATCTGAGCCTATCCAAAGCCAGGAGCCAGGAGCTTCTTCTGGGTCTCCCACGCGGGTGCAGGGTCCCAAGGCTGTGGGCCGTCCTCCACTGCTTTCCCAGGCCACAGGCAGGGAGCTGGATGGGAAGTGGAGCAGCTGGGATTCGAACCAGCGCCCACACAGGGTCCCGGCAGGCCGCGAGGTAGGGGCTTTGACATACTAGAGGAGCAATGGGGAGGCGGTGTGGTCCGAGTAGGGTGACTGTGGGAGGGCGCAAGGGGCTGTCTCCTGCTGGGGGACCTTGTAGGGCCTTCAGACGTGCCTTGCGGCTCCTGCACACTCCTCTTCTTTATGCTTGCTGCTCCTTTGTTGCAATTTAGTCTGGTAATACACTCTGTCTAGTCCACCTGATCTCCATTCTATATGAGGTCCTTGGAGCCAGAGGTATCTTTCTTTTAAGATTCATTTTATTTATTTGATAAGCAGAGTGCCAGAGAGATATTTTCTCACCACGTGTTCAGTCTCCAAATGGCTGCAATGACCGGGGCTGAGCCAGGCCAAATCCAGGAGCCTGGAGCTCCATGGAGGTCTCCCCTGTTAGGA